ATCAAACGAGGGTGCCACCTGGTGCCCAAAAATATGCCAGCCCCCCGACATCGTCCGATTGACTTTAATCCGGTGTCAAACAATTGCAGTCAACAAATTTCACTGCAATGCCCACATTTCATTCAATAACTTCAATCGTAAGAATATGGAGTTGGATTTGCTTTAATGTAGCTCGATTTGGTGCTTAGAAGATTTTAGACCCTTTTAGTGGTCAGAATATGGAGTTTGATTTGCGAGCGTAGCTCGATTTAGAACATAGAAGATTGTAGATCCCATCACTCTTATATTAGTGGTGGATTTAGAAGTTTCTTGTCAATTGACGTTGTCCAAGTTGCGGATACCCATCTGGTGAGAGGGGATGCGATGGTTTTTACTCTCAGGCGAGGATGGTTAAGATGACCCGTTAGTGAAATTCGAATTAATAACCGAGGTAATCGTAGTTTGAGTAATTTTTTGGTGGATTATGGGATGAGAGGGGTAGCGGAGGATTTTTTTGACGTGTGCCCTTTGGTGGGAAGGACTTGTTGGCGCACGCCTAGTGTGCTTATATGTATGATGTATCCGGCCCTGACTCAAATCATTCGGGGTGTATCGGAGAAATGTAAGCTCCGGAGGGCGCAGTTAAATGCTAATTGAACTATCCTCTAATATTTGAATTATACTGTAAAGAACTCCAGAGATAAATGAAATATCTCGAAAGATGAATTTCAGTATTTTTCAGGAAAGAGCTAAGAACTGAAGAATTTCAAATTAACGGACTAGCGCGCCCCTAGAACTCAAATCTTTCGCTCCGTAGTCGCAGGCTCACAGGTAGCCGGAACCCATCGAAGTGCAGCGTGGCCACATCTCTCTCCGCTTCGTCTACTGCCCATTGAAACGGACGGCAAGGGTCAGGCGCTGCGGCAACGCAAGATAATTCCGGACGGGAGATCCGGCGCTCTTTGCGCGGGATTTTTAAAAGTCGCAGGTAGCCGGAACCCTTCGAAGCGCAGCGTCGCCACATCTCTATGCGCTTCGTCTACTGCCCGTTGAAACTGATGGCAAGGGTCACGCGCTGCGGCAACGGAAGAAAAATCCGGATGGGAGATCCGGCGCTTTTTGCCTGGGATCTTCTAACAGCTATATTGATCCAGATCATTTATCAGGGGCCTTTTTAAGTAGCGCTGTTGAGTTCAACGAGCTCAAATTCTAAATCAGAGTGTTAACTTATTCAGAAAGTCAAATATATAGATACTTCGCTTCTATCTCAAAAACAATTACAATTTTCCCACGTGTCTGGCTCGAAACATATCAAAAATTTGACAGGACTATTTTTTAAGAAATGTTCATGAATGTGTAAATTGCATATGATTTAAAAATCCCCAAAATCTAGTTAAGATTTACCTCACTCGAATGCGCCTTGTACACTCTTCCACATTTTAATTACAGAATTAAATATTTTCTCTCACATTTTTCATTAGGTTTGGATGCTTCACTTAAAAAAAAAAATACAAATACCAATACTTTCTAAAAATCGCGCAACTGCCCTGATTGAATCCCAAGACAATGAGACATAAACGTTTTTTAGAAGAGTCAGTCGAGATAAGGTGCAATGCTACGGACCGTATGCTTCCTTGCAAACAAATAAAAACATTGAGACATCAAAATAAATTCGCCGGCCATCGCCCTTTTCAATATCCGTTATGGAAATTTTTTCAAAAAATCAATATTTTACTAATATGCATTCCTGGGAAACGGTTGTCGGAAACATGGCAATAAGCGGTTCCTCACATATGCGGGAGGTGACGAAAACTGGGTTGAGACGGTCACGTCCGGAAGAGCCTAATATTTTCCACAATAGAGCGGTCTCTTGACGAGTAATTTGTACCCCCGTGAAGAGCGTGAATAATGTGAATTTACGGCAGCAGTCCTTTACTGTTTCGCCGGAGCCTTTCGATCTTGTAGCATTTTAAAAAACCTTCTATTCTTTTGAGTGTCGGTATTCCTGTCTCTCACACTCAACAGATTGGGAGACATATGTGACATATCCTATAAATAAAAAATCAGGAAAACAAACTATTACATACCGTTCATCGGCGAGTCGAAAGGAGGGCCTGCGATTTGGGCCGAAATCGGCCCCTCCACGGAACCAGGAAATGTTTAGATATTTGACGGTTGACGATGCATACATAACATAAATTATAAAGTTTTGCCGATACTCAGCTCAAAATTTTGATGAAAACGCCCTAAAAATCCGTCCTATTATTTTAATTTTAAGTTGATTCATGTTCATCCATGTTGATCACAAGTTTTGGATTGGGTACCACCCAGTAGCGTGGCGTGAATAATCGATTATCGATATCTCGCCATTTGAAGCTATGGTAAAGAATCGATTACTAAGGTGTTCGCTGCGAACACCCTGATAATCGATCTTTTTCCATAGGTTTAAATGGCATAACAATCGATATATCGCAATTCACGCCACGCCATTGGTACCACCTGGGGAGAGGCGACGGGGACGTCCCGTAAAGGGTTGGCGGCAGGGCGTTGACGAAGAGATGTTGCGGTGTCAGTTGCCCGATAACCTCTGGGAAGACAGGCATATGTGGCGTTTGGGGGTTGTAGAACGCCAGAGTGCGTTGTAAAGCGACTTTAATAATAATAATAATAATAATAATAATAATAATAATAATAATAATAATAAGTTGATCCATGGCATTTCTTGGCAAATCGCGATCATACGCAAAGGCCGTACATCAGCTTGCAACAGTAAAATTGAGATAATTGGACGAACTTTTAGTGCGTTTTTAACTTAAATTCGCGCTGGAACTCAATTTTCACGGTAAAAGATAAAGTTTTCAACCGCAAAACATTTTCGGATCGGATACAAGAGCTCTTTAAGGAGGTATGAAGGGTACCCATTGTTTCAACCCCGACATAAAGCAGGTTGCGGGAGTCCCTTCGCTGCACAATAGAGGGTATCCTGCGAGCAGTCCAGTTATTGCTGCCGGAACTGATGCGTTGTCTTTTAAGCATTTTTTTGCCTCATAAAACGTCGCAGTTTTCGTTGAAAGGGCTTTAGTGATCAATGGTTTCAATAAAAAAACGACACCTCTTATAAAATGTTCCCCTGTACCATACACTGGAAAAACAAAGAATCTTAAAGCCGCCAAGAAGTTAATCTTCTTAAATCAAAAATTTTGCTGGTTATTATACGCTACATTTTTGCTTAACCAAAGCATTATTTTTCTTGAATCAAGAGAAAGTCAGCTTAAAGCAAGATAAAGAAAATTCTTGGCGGCAAATTCAAGAATTATCATGCTTGATCCGAGCTACTTTTTTTCAGTGTAGTTACATTTTTGAAGCAAAAAGCATTCGAAGACGAATATTTCCGAAGGTGCTCGAAAAACGTGGAGTGCATTTCAAACTTTACCGATGGAATCACCATGATTACCATTTTGCTGAGGCTGAAGTTTGCGACGGGCACTTTTCCCCTCGCCGCAACTTCCAGTAAAAAAGAGTGAGTGAGCAATTTTGAGCAATTCAAGAGCAATTGTTTGGGACCGGTTTGAAGTCGATCGGACAATGTCGGGGAGCCGGCATATTTTGGGGCACCAAGTAGCATCCTCATTTTGGGGGAGAAGGGTGGGTGAGCAATTCCTAATTTTTGGTGAGCAATTCTGAGCAATTCAAGAGAAATTGTTTGACACCGGTTTGAAGTCGATCGGACGATGTCGGGGGGGCTGCCACATTTTGGGGCACCAGGTGGCACCCTCATTTTGGGGGGGACGGGTGGGTGAGCAATTCCTAATTTTTGGTGAGCAATTCTGAGCAATTCAAGAGCAAATGTTTGACACCGGTTTGAAGTCGATCGGACGATGTCGGGGGGCTGGCATATTTTGGGGCACTAGGTGGCACCCTCATTTTGGGGGGGACAGGTGGGTGAGCAATTCCTAATTTTTGGTGAGCAATTCTGAGCAATTCAAGAGCAATTTTTTGACATCGGTTTGAAGTCGATCGGACGATGTCGGGGGGCTGGCATTTTTAGGGGGTCCATATGGTGAATTTCGAATTGGATTTTGGGGTAGGGAAGGGATGGTGAGCAATTTCTAATTTTTGGTGAGCAATTCTGAGCAATTCAAGAGCAATTGTTTGACTCCGGTTTGAAGTCGATCGGACGATGTCGGGGGGCTGGCATTTTTGGGGGTCCATGGGGAATTTTGAAATGAAATTTGGGGGGAGGGGAGGGTGAGCAATTGCAAAAAAGTGGTTTTTCTACCTGAGCAAAAGGTGGGCAATTTCCTGACGATGCATTTTTTCATTTCTGTGGGGGTCGGGGGGCCAAGTTCACGGACATCTAATAGGGTAGGTAGCATGCAGTGTCCGATCCCATTCATTATAACGCTAACAGGTGGACGACGGACTCCGTTCACTACATGAAACCGTAGGTATGGGGAAGGCAATGGGAAGGGTTACCAATCTTAATCTCGAACGAATCTCGCTCGTTGGGCGTTTGTGGTACGGAACCGCTGATGCAAAATATTTGAACAAATTCAGCTTGAGGGAATAGATCTCCGGGGAAATCCGCTGAGCCCTCCTTCGGCGGTGACAGGAGAGGGTCCCGCGGATCCCCTTTGGTGAGGTTCCTTTTAGTGTCCCCCAGACCGTCTTGAAAGAAGGTACCCCGAAGTTTTAAAAGTTCAGCTCATGCATGCACTCCAGTCTATCATCATCAGATTAAAAGAATGTTTATTTTATTTTTTTTTCTTGTCACAAAGTAGGTAGCAAGTGCTTTTTATGGCAATAAAGCATGTTCACTAATCAACATCTAATTAAAAATTGCATTCATTTGAACTAAGAGGTCTTAATTACAATTCCAAATTTTTGTGTTAGAGGACCCAATCAGATGCCATTCTTTGTTCGTTATTNTGGGGGGGGGGGGAAGAGGAATCCAGTAAGTCCAATATTGCACCAAACAACATAGGTACGTCCTCGCAATCATCTCTGTTTTCTAGGCTGTGGTGACATCTTGGCGAGCAAATTCATATTGAAGAGCACGGGAAACGCAACGGGCTGAAATTAGGTGGGCGACTGCTCATAACTGTAGAGGTCACCGACATTCCTGAAAAATAAATTGAAAATTTTGTCACCTGAAAGAGGGTTCATCAATCGGGTTTTACGTCAATCGGTTCACGTTCCAACTTTCCGATTGATTCATGTCGGTCATGTCGGATTCATGGCACCAGTTTTTCAATAATTTGTCGATCGAGTCGGTTTCGATCGATTCACGCTTTCATTTTTCGATCGATTCATGTCAATCGAATCTATAAACCCTCCCGTCCAAATTGCATGTAAATAATTGCCACCATTCTCAAAATATTAGCAAGTCTGTAGGTATCCATATTTTTGGCGCACCCTGTTTTCGGTAGAATACCTTTCCGCAGGGACAATGCACCTCCCCCCCCCCTTCCTCGTATGATGGGAGGAAGGGGTGTTTTCTCTGTTGGGGTTAACCCTCCAGTATGTAATAGTGACACCAGGGTCGTCTTTCCTATGCAGTGCTAAAACAATCTACAATTCCTAATTGCAAAATGAGCTTCCCGGCCCCGGATTCTCCATTTTGCAATAAGGAACTATAGCCNATGGATCATTCAAGCTCATTGAAAAATGAACGATCCGGATCATTCAATTTGAATGAGTTTTTCGTCAGCTCATTCAAATTTGAATGATCCAGATCGTTCACTTGATCATTGAATTTCAATGCGCCCGAATGAGCTTGAATGATCCGGATCATTGGATTTCAACGAGCTTGAATGATCTGGATCATTGGATTCCAACGAGCTTGAATGATCCGGATCATTGGATTTCAACGAGTTTGAATGATCCGGATCATTGGATTCCAACGAGCTTGAATGATCCGGATCATTGGATTTCAACGAGCTTGAATGATCCGGATCATTGGATTCCAACGAGTTTGAATGATCCTGATCGTTGAATTTCAACGAGCTTGAATGATTCTGATCGTTGAATCCCAACCAGCTTGAATGATCCTGATCGTTGAATCCCAACCAGCTTGAATTCTCCTGATCGTTGAATCCCAGCCAGCTTGAATTCTCCTGATCGTTGATTTCCAATGAGTCAAGGTCTCGGTCTGATGAGAATCTATAAAAAGATTGTAAATAGTATAGAAGCAAAAGTACATGGATATCCATTCTCACTTTGCAGTTTTTTTTTCAACAGAAAAATGAAGGGGAAAAAACCAAAAAAACATATGATGATAGGAAAAGTTAAAAAAACACAGACTCACCAGAAGTTTATCCAATTCCTCCTAAAGTAAGCTCATCCTCCGCCCTATTACAGCAACAGTGTGAATATAGGTACTATAATAAAAGTAGTTTTAAGTTGAAAATTTTTGCTACAAACCATCTCCCACACGCTGTCAAGAATTCAAACCACACAACAGTCATTGTGGGAGAGGCTCGTAGCTTTGCCGCCGAGTTGCAGAGCTGCTGCGGGGATTCTTTCCATCGACAACTGAAAAATTTAACTAAAATGGAACATATTAAATTGCCAGCATACTTAACCAGAAAAATGTTGAATTGAAGAATTAACCGCGCGTTTAGAATTGCAGAAGCGATGTCGCTGTTTTACTCTGATTTAAAAGAAAGAAACAAGCAAAAATTACATTGGGATACAGGGGTATAAAATTGGCTTTGTCTCTGAAATAATTAA